CCTAAATGCTCTGGGGGTGGGTGGGTTGCTGGCTGCTGCCTAGCAACCCTAGATGGTAGATCCACTTTCAAAACCTTTTCTGTCAACAAGTTCATGCTTTACATTCATTCATTCACAGTATTTGAGGGTGCGTCTTCTTGGAGCTCCTTGCGTCTCTGGAATTTATTCCTGGAGCCCTTCACAGCTCTGGTTTTGGGTCCAAGAGCCTTCTGGACAGCTAACATCTGTTGCAGGAACTGAAGCAAAAAAATACGTTTCAGTTAGTTTGTTTTAAATCTCATATAAACGCTCTCCAGGGCTCTTTTTGTAGAAAAAGCCCAGCAGAAGCTCATTAGCACAATAGGCCACACCCAACAGCAAGAACTCATTAGCATATTAGACCACACCCTGACAGCACCGCTCATTAGCCCACTAGGCCACACCACCATGTTACCAGAAGTGTGGTCATCCAGACACACCCACCTTTCCCTTATTCTGTTTACCTTGTTTGTTGTCAAAACCCAGGGCCTTTTTTAACTCCTTTGCATGTTAGGCCACACACCCCTAATGTAGCCAATCCTAATGAGTCTCTGCTGTTGGGTGTGGCCTATTATGCTAATGAGTTCGTGCTGGGCGTGGCCAACTCGGGAGCCAGCCGGAACTCCATTCCTGTGCGTTCCTGCCCAAACATAGCCCTGGCTCTCACTTTCTGTGACTTGTAAGTCATGTTCTGCTATTCGTGGCATGAATTCTGGAAAATGTAAGATAGGAACACATGCACCTCTGAAGGGCAAGCAAGGGCTGGGGGTTCGAGTCCCACCAAAAGCCATTTTTAGGAGGCGGGGCCATAGCTCAGCTGGGATGCACGTGCTTGGTGGTGGAAAGTGCCTTCAAGTCACTGCTGACTTATGGCGACCCCATAGGGTTTTCAAGGCAAGAGAGGTTCAGAGGTGGTTCGCCACTGCCTGACTCTGCGTCATGACCTTTCCTTGGTGGTGTGCCATTCAAGGATTAATCTGTGCTGACCCTGCTTAGCTTCCGAGATCGGATGAGATTGGGCTAGCCTGGGCTATGCAGGTCAGGGCTATGCACATGCTTAGCATGTAGAATACCCCAGGTTCAACCTGCTAGTAAAAAGGATAGCAGGATAAGGGTTCAAAGTGACCTCTTCCTGAATCCTTTCATGTTATCTATCATCATAGGCAATGCACTGGTAGGAGGAGGAGAGGAGATTGGATGTATACCCCACCCTTCACTCCCCAGAGGAGTCTCAGAGCGGCTTACAAACTCCTTTCCCTTCCCCCTCCCCACAACAGACACCCTGTGAGGTAAAAGAAGAAGAAGAAGAAGAAGAGACTGGATTTATAGCCCGCCCTTCACTCCCCAGAGGAGTCTCAGAGCGGCTTACAAACTCCTTTCCCTTCCCCTCCCCACAACAGACACCCTGTGAGGTAAAAGAAGAAGAGATTGGATTTATACCCCACCCTTCACTCCCCAGAGGAGTCTCAGAGTGGCTGACAAACTCCTTTCCCTTCCCCTCCCCACAACAGACACCCTGTGAGGTAAAAGAAGAAGAAGAGGAGACTGGATTTATAGCCTGCCCTTCACTCCCCAGAGGAGTCTCAGAGCGGCTTACAAACTCCTTTCCCTTCCCCTCCCCACAACAGACACCCTGTGAGGTAAAAGAAGAAGAGATTGGATTTATACCCCACCCTTCACTCCCCAGAGGAGTCTCAGAGTGGCTGACAAACTCCTTTCCCTTCCCCTCCCCACCACAGACACCCTGTGAGGTAAAAGAAGCAGAAGAGGAGACTGGATTTATAGCCTGCCCTTCACTCCCCAGAGGAGTCTCAGAGTGGCTGACAAACTCCTTTCCCTTCCCCTCCCCACCACAGACACCCTGTGAGGTAAAAGAAGCAGAAGAGGAGACTGGATTTATAGCCTGCCCTTCACTCCCCAGAGGAGTCTCAGAGTGGCTGACAAACTCCTTTCCCTTCCCCTCCCCACCACAGACACCCTGTGAGGTAGGTGGGGCTGAGAGAGCTCTGACAGAAACTGCTCTTTTTTTCCAAGAACAGCTCTTATCAGAACTATGGCTTGCCCAAGGTCATCCAGCCAGGTGTGAGTGGAGGAGTGGGGAATCAAACCCGGTTCTCCCAGATTAGAGTCCACGCACTTAACCACTACACCAAACTGGCCAATAGACCAATGTGGGTCAAAGTCATAAGGGAAGTTACGTTCTACTCTGGAGTTTGTCACATAGAGGGTGCGTTCAGACGGGGCGTTTCTGCCGGCATAAACTGCATCGGTTGGAACCGGTGCAGTTTATGCTGGCAGAAACGCGATCAGACTCACCCACCTGTCTGCGGAGCCCTCCAGTGGACGCCCGCTCACACGCTGCGGGCGTCGGCGTTTTTTTTTTAAAAAGGACTGTTTGAGCATGCGCACAGGCAGCCATTCAGAGAATGGCAATTTTTGCGCATGCTCAACCCCCCCCCTTACATTTAAACTTTAAAGGTAAACACTTACCTTTAAAGTTTAAAGCCCAACCTGGCCTCGCTTAAGTCCCAGACTCCTCCGGGACGGTAAAGTAAGGGCTTTTTTTTTATTTTAACAAACGCTCAGGGCGAAGCTTCGCCTGAGCGCATATCACCTAGTTTAAAAAAAAATGGTGGGGGAAAGCCGGAAGCCTCAGGCTTCCGACGGAAGTGGCTGCGCAATGGAGGAGAGTGATCAGACGCCGGGGTGCACCGTTTTCAACCGTTGCACTCTGTTTACCACCACTTCGGACCTAGTGGCAGAGTGCAACGGTTTAAAAGGATTTACAACGGTTAGGGACGGGAGGCAGATGTTCGCTGTCTGAACGCCCGTAAGTACACCGGTTGGAACCGGCACCCTAACCGTTGTAAAGCCCCCGTCTGAACGCACCCAGAGTGAGGCAGGGACATTGCACCGGGAACTTCCAAGAGGTTCCAGGTGTGGCAGCCACCCTGCTTCAGAATTCTAAAGGTGCCCACGAGCTCAGAAAAGGCTGGGGACCTCTGAATTGAATCTTACCTCTGGGATCTTGCCTCTGAATTAGATCTTACCTCTGGGATCCGGTAGCCTTTCCTTTCCAGGAATTCCTTAAAAGCGTGGGTTCCATAAAGCTGCTGCATAATCTCAGCATCCTAAAAAACAACAACACCCAGAACCAAAGTGGAGAAGATTCACACTGAGGGATCTTTCCCCCCCCCCCTCCATCCAAAATGCTGTTCCTAAGGGCTAGAAGTCAGGCAGGACAGGACAGTGCCAATGAATGGGCAGGGGCATGCAGACAGGAGCAAACTTGATTCTCATTGGCTCACATGTAAATTCTATGGGGCAGAACTAAGTCAACAGCAAAAGGAGCTAAGCTACACAGCCCCACAGGAAGACAGGATTAATCCTGAGTCACCAGCAAGAAAAAAGAAGCTTAGATCCACTCTGCCTGCTTAGATGCAAAATAGCACAGGCAAAATAGTTTTAGGGAGAAGCCTGGGTGGGAAAGGAGTTCAATTTCCCCTTCCCTCGTTCCCTCTCAGCCATCCATCATGTAGTAGTAGTAGTAGTAGTAGTAGTAATATACTTTATTGTCATTGTACATAGTACAACGAAATTAAAGGTGCAATCATTCGGTGATCTACAACCATACTCATATACACTCACACAACCATTCACAACCATCCCATAACTCCCTTAAGGTTCACATTGCAACTTAAACCACCAATGTCACCCAAATTCCAATTTCATACAGCGTTTAAAGCAATAATAGCTCTCGAATAAAAACTATTTTTTAATCTGTTTGTCCTCGTTTTAATTGTCCTATATCTTCTACCCGAAGGCGGCAGTTCAAACAGGGAGTATTCAGGGTGTGACAAATCCTGCAGAATGTTCTTTGCTCTGAAGTTTGTGCTTTAAATAACTCAGGTGCCACCAGAAGTTCCTTCAATGACGCAGAGGTCCATGAGTGTCTACTGGCAACAGGGTATAGATGGAACAGTCTGTCTGGGGCAGTGATGCTGTGTATTCTTGGTCCTTGGGGGGCAACAGTGTGAGGGCTTTTATAGTTCTGGCCCTGCTAGTGGGCCTTCTGATGGCACCTGGGTTTTGGCCACTGTGTGACACAGAGAGTTGGACTGGATGGGCCACTGGCCTGATCCAACATGGCTTCTCTTATGTTCTTATGGTTTTTCCCAGCAAGGCCTCTGACTGGCTGTGCGTCCTGTTAAACAGAGCTTTTGCCTAAAACGTTGAAGAGTTACTGCTGTGGAGAGTTACTAAAATGTTGAAGAGTTTCTATTTTGTGGCTGGTGTCACCTGCTGCGGTGGCCATTTTGTGACTGGGCCCACCGCCCTCTGTCAGCGTTCTAAAGGTGCCCGTCGGCTCCAAAAGACCAGGGACCCTGCTCTAGGGCCTCACAGCCCTGCTGAGCTCTCTCTCCTCTGCAGACTTGGCCTTCCCTGTGCTCTGCCTCCAAATCTCCAGCAACTTCCACCTGTCTCCTGTCACTGGCATTACAAGGCTGGGTCCTTAACTTGTAAAAAAATATCCTTGCAGCTAATCGGTCCTACCTTTTCAGCCAATATCTTCCATGCGTTCTTGACGCTCGCATCCTCCAGTTGGGGATCTTCTAAAGGTTCGCTGGCTTTCTGTTTTTTCCATGTCTTTGGGTCCAGATACCAGGCGCCATACCTGATCCTCTCCCTCTTGGGCCGGTAAAGTTCCTGTTGAAGAACTAACTATAATTAGCCAGTCATGACTATCTGTACTTTGACTGAGGATCCCAGCTAGAAACAGAATTATACACCATCCCCAGATACAGTGCTGGGAAACTTCAGGTGCCACTGGACTCAAAGTTTGTTCTATAAGAACGTAAGAAGAGACCTGCTGGATCAGACCAATAGTCCATCTAGCCCAGCATCCTGTTTCACACAGTGGCCAACCAGTTCCTCTGGACGGCCAACAACAGCATCGAGGCCAAGGCCTTTCCCTTATGTTGCCTCCTGGCTCTGGGATTCAGAGGCTTAAGTCGAATCTGCATTTGCATTTTTAAATTAGTTTCATGCTGCTGTGACGCCATCTTTCTCTATGCTTGTTTGAATGTTGTTTGGAAACGATTCTTTTAAAGTAGTGCAGGGGTGCAATGACAGTGGAGCCGCCCCGAAAGAACGATAAACATATGTGGACGTGCAAAAGTATGCTAGCACTCTTGAGGTGTGAAAACGACACCAAATGTAGACAGCTTTTTTGAAGACGGAGTCAAAAGGCAAATGCAGATTCAGCCTTCGTGCCTCTGAATATGGAGGCTCCCCTCAGTCACCATGGCTAGCAGCCACTGATAGACATCTCCTCCATGAATCTATCTAATCCCCTTTTACAGCTGTTTATTCCTGCGGCCATCACTTCATCCTCTGGCAGCGAATGCCCCCTTTTAATCACTCTCTGTGTAAAGTGGTATTTCCTTTTGTCCACCCTGAACCTACTGCCCATCAGCTTCATTGGATCCCCTCCAGTTCTAGTATTTGGGGAGAGGGAGAATTCTCTTGGTCAACTCTCTCCACCCCATGCATAATTTTATAAACTTCTATCATGTTCCCCCCCCCCTTCCCCTTAGTGGTCTCTTTTCTAAACTGAAAAGTCCCAGACTCTTCAGACACTCCTTATAGGGAAGGTGCTCCAACCCTCTCATTATCTAGGTTTGCACTGTTACCTCTAGCTGTGCAGGTGAGCGGCCGCTCATTAACACAGGAAGCCCCGCTCAGCAGCAGTCTGGAGCCACGCAGGGTCTTGCGCTGCCCGTTGCCTGTTTTAAGATTACAGCCGTTATATTCTGCTAAGGATGTGAACTGGTCCACTCAGTGGGGGGGAGGGAAATAGAGGAAACATTGCTTGGGAGGCCTCCTCTGTACTTTTTCCAGCTCTGCAATATACTTTTTGAAATACCGTGACCAGAACTGTACCCAGGGCTATTTTTGGGCAGGAACGCAGGAATGCACAGGAACGGAGTTCCGGCTGGCTCCTGAGTTGGCCACGCCCAGCAGGAACTCATTAGCATAATAGGCCACACACAACAGCACAAACTCATTAGGATTGGCTACATTAGGGGTGTGTGGCCTAACATGCAAAGGAGTTCCTGCTACCAAAAAATCCCTGGGTTTGGACAACAAACAAGATAAACAGAATAAGAAGCAAAAGGTGGGTGTGGCTGGATGAGCACACTTCTGGTAACATGGGGCTGTGGCCTAATATGCTAATGTGCTGTGCTGTCAGGGTGTGGCCTACTATGCTAATGAGTTTCTGCTGTTGGGTGTGGCCTGTTATGCTAATGAGTTCCTGCTGGGCTTTTTCTACAAAAAAAGCCCTGACTGTACCCAATATTTAAAATGAAAGAAGAAGAGGAGGAGGAGGAGGAGTTTGTGTTATACCCCGCCCTTCACTACCCAAAGGAATCTCAGAGTAGCTTACAATCGCCTTCCCTTCCTCTCCCCACAACAGACACCTTGTGAGGTAGGTGGGGCTGAAAGAGCTCAGGGAACTGTGACTGACCCACAGTAATCTTAGAAAGATAATCTTAGACAGATGGTCACCTTTTCACTTCACACAGCCAAACTATGAGTCTCCCCCAAAATGTTCCAAGTGGAAAATCAAGGTTTGCTTACCTTAGACTGGCTTCCTGGCGGGGCAGGCCTTTCCCTGGGGTCTTGGGGAGGTGGTGTTTCCACATATTTCCTCAGCTCGGCCGGCAAATTATTCAGCTCCACCACATGTATCGGGACCAAGGTGGGCAGTTTGGTTTCGTAATGTTCGTCAAACAGACTTACAATGGCGGCTTCGTCGATGTTATATCTCTCTCCTCCCTAGAATAAGGAGGAAGAAATGTCTGAAGCCTGTCTTCCCTGCAGGTGCATCACAGTGTCAAAACCAGTGTTCCCTCTAAGCTGAGCTAGTGTGAGCTAACTCACAGTTTTTTAGCCCCCAGCTCACACATTTTGTTTTTTAGTTTTTAATTTTTATTTACAAAAGTAGCAATAATAACAACGAATATACCAATTCAGGCTCTTCAATACAGGTAAATAATATACAGTCTCGCACTTTTGTGCCTTCGCTCAGGAAGGGATGGCTCCAGAGCAAACTAATTTATACAGTAGCCAAATCGCTCGCTCACAACTTTAATGCCAGTGAGCTCACAAAGTAGAATTTTTGCTCGCAAGACTCCACAGCTTAGAGGGAGCATTGCTCAAGACATATCAGGGCCGGCGTCAACATACCCCACGGTGGGGCACCTGCCGAGGTCCAGATCTTCTGCAGGGGCCCGCTGCCCCCATCTTTCATCTGCCCACCTCCTCTGCGGCCCACCTGCTTATTGTGAGCCCTTCTGCCCCCACCGCACCCCCCAGCTGCACGGACCGCCCAGCACTGTCGGGGAAGGGTGTGTGATCACAGGGAAAACTGGAAAATGTGCACATGGATGGGCGAAGGATGGTCGGCTACGCAATGGGGAAGGGGAACACAGGCAGGTGGGCAGGGAGGCATCAGTGGCGGGGGGCACGGTGGCAAGCAGAGGAGTGCTCCACTGTCACAGGAGGTGGTGGCAGCTACAAGCATGGACGGCTTCAAGAGGGGATTGGATAAACATCTGGAGCAGAGGTCCATCAGTGGCTATTAGCCACAGGATATAGATAGGAACTCTCAGTCTGGGGCAACTGATGCTCTGTATTCTTGGTGCTTGGGGGGGGGCAACAGTGGGAGGGCTTCTGGTGGACCTCCTGATGGCATCTGGTATTTCTGGCCACTGTGTGACGGAGTGTTGGACCGGATGGGCCACCGGCCTGATCCAACCTTGGCTTCTCTTATGTTCTCGTGAGGGGAGGGGGCCCCAGGCACTCTCTGCCAAGGGCCCCCTGAAATCGGCCCTGAGACATACATACCCTTGAGCCGTGAATCGAGTTGCCACAAAATATGGTGCCCGAGAACTGGACCGCAGATAGATCCCGTTTTACTCACCAGAGAATCAAACCATCTACAGAACTCCTTGATGGCTCCCTTGACATTGTCATCGAGGGGAGGGACGTAATTCAGCCTGGCCTCCCTCTCCCTTGCGGCCACTTCTGGTTTGGAGAGCCACGTGTAAGGGTCCTTGCTTTTCGGATCCTTGCTGGGAGAGACAATTGCATTACTCAACATGTGTGTGTGTGAAGTGTCACTGAATCACAGCTGATTTATGGCGACCCCGTAGGGTCTTCAAGGCAAGAGAGGAGACGTGGTTAGCCTTTGCCTGCATCAAAGTACTCATTTCCTTTACTGTGTATAACCTTGTGAATTGTTTTCTTTAATTTTTTTTTGTTTTCTTTAAGTTCTTTTTTAAAAGACTCTGAAATTGCTTGACCAATTTGCACCCACAAGATGGCGCTCTAAGGCTGAGGCTTAATGTCCTTACACGGCTTACATTTACGGAGGTAATTCTTCAGGCTCAGAATTCAAAGGTTCCCCATCTTCTCCTAGACAGGCTCTCGAAAGGCCAGGTGTCACCTAACAGCACAGGTAAAGGTAAAGGTTCCCTTGCTCGAAAGCCAGTCAAATCCGACCCTAGGGTTGCGGTGCGCATCTCCGTTTCAAAGCCGAAGAGCCAGCGCTGTCCGAAGACGTTTCCGTGGTCATGTGGCCTGCATGACTAAACACCAAGGCGCACGGAACGCTGTTACCTTCCCACCAAAGTGGTACCTATTTATCTACTTGCAATTTCTTGCTTTCGAACTGCTAGGTTGGCAGGAGCTGGAACTAGAGATGGGAGCTCACTCCGTCTTGCGGCACAGACCTATGGGTAAAAAAGGTTGGCCACCAGCTAGGGTTGCCAGCCTCCAGGTGGTGGCTGGAGATCTCCAGGGATCACAACTGACCTCCAGGTGACAGAGATCAGTTCCCCTGGAGAAAATGGCTGCTTGGTAAAATGGAGTCTTAGGATTACACCTGGTTAGGGTCTCCCCCCCCCCCCGCCTCAAACCCCATCCTTCTCGGGCTCCATCCCCAAATCTTTAGGAATTTCCCAACCTGGAGTTGGCATCCTGAGCACCATATAAAACAGGAAGGCAGAGCAATTTAAAGCACAGGACGGGTGTGCAGGAGACGTGCTAATCCACCCCTGCTGTGCAATTCCCTCCTTCCCAATTACTTTGATTGAGCTGGTTTTCCCCAATTGGGCACTGGGCAATTCTGCATTGGTTTTTCTCTCCATTGTTTTACAAAACCCATGTTAGAACAGAAATTCTCCTCTGCATTGCATGCCGCTTTCCCTTCCCTTGATCATCGGATAGATTTGCAGCCGTTCAGGGGTGACTTTGCACTCAGTACGGCATTGACCCGGGGTATTTGAATGTGGTTTTGAGCGGCACCTTTTCTTCCCAGGGCAGTTTTGCATCTAGCATTCGCTCCACATTTGCTCCACTGCGAGGAAAAACAATGCCGTACTGATTGCAAAGTCACCCCGGAACGGCTATAAACCTATGCAGAAGGTACCCTTCCCTTAACTCTCAATCTTTCAATACTAGATGGTCTCCGATATTAGAAAAAGCACAATATATTCAGGAAAAAGTTCAACATCCACGAAAATCACAATATTTTGACTTTACTAAGAGTGGCTGGATACTTTAACTCCAAAGGGAGTACTTAACGTTCATCAGACTCTCCTTTAGTAAAGTTATAGACTGTAAGACGTGAGTTTGTTTATTGTTGTATTTTTTACATTTCTTTCATACGTTATTCTTATACTGTACAATGTTATCAGGTATTATTATAAAACTAAATAAAAAGTTTTTTAAAAATCCGATGATCAAAAAAAGTGAAAGCGGCATGCAACGCAGAGGGGAATTCCTGTTCCAACGTGGGTTTGCTAATACAACGGAGGGAAAACAACAAAGGGAAAAGCCAATGCAGAATCAGCTTCTGTTGAGAAAATGTGGAGTGAATGCTAGATGCAGAATCACCACTGAGACCAGAAGTAATTTGTCCTATGCAGGGGTCGTTTCATAGAAAAAGAGCTAGGGGAACTCATTAGCATAACTCATTAGCATATGCCACACCCCCTGACATCAGGGGCCTGGCGGTGGACCTGCAAGGCCGGCGGGAGTGCGAGGAAGCCCCGCCAAGGCCCTCCCTGGCCCCAGGCAGGCAGGGGTGGGGAGAGGCGGGGAGGAAGCAACTTACCCTCCCTCTTCTCCTGCCTCCTCCTAGCTGAATGAGGGCTGGAAGCGGGGCGGCCGGAAGCAGGGGGTGGGGCTTCGTCATGTGCCCCACCCCCTGCACCTCACCCGGGGGGGAGCCGTTCCCCCACGTTCCCCCCCGAAATGACCTCTGGTGGTACCTATTTATCTACTTGCAATTTCTTGCTTTTGAACTGCTAGGTTGGCAGGAGCTGGAACTAGAGACGGGAGCTCACTCCGTCTTGCGGCACCCTCCCTCTTCTCCTGCCTCCTCCTGGCTGAATGAGGGCCGGAAGTGGGGCGGCCGGAAGCAGGGGGCGGGGCTTTGTCGTGTGCCCCGCCCCCGCCCCTCACCCGGGGGAACTGCGATCCCCCGAAGGGGGAGGACGCCAACTTACCCTCCTGCTTCTTCCTCCTTCTGCAACAGAATGAGGCTGGAAGCAGGGGGCGGCCGGGGGCTTTGTCGTGTGCCCCGCCCCCGCCCCTCACCCGGGGGAACTGCGATCCCCCGCGATTCCCCGCGAATCGACCTCTGGTCCTATGAGAAAAAACATTTGAGACTGGGCATCTGAGAAGATGGATGCCAGGTGGTTGGGGCCAGGAAAGCCCAAACTCTCCCGCTCACACAGCAGCCAGCCACACAGCTTTTGCCACGATCTTTCCCAAACCTTTGCAGCAAAGCAGACTTGGAAAAAGATCAGAGAAAAGCTAAGGGGTACACTGCTAGAGCTGCCATACAGTGCCTAGCAATGAGGTTGCCAGCTCTGGGTTGGGAAATGCCTGGAGGTTTGGGGGGTGGAGGCTGAGGAGGGTGGGGTTTGGGGAGGGGAGGGACTTCTGTGGGGTATAATGCCATAGAGTCCACCTTCCAAAGCAGCCATGTTCTCCAGGGGAACTGATCTCTATCACCTGGAGAGCAGTTGTAATCCTAGGAGATCTCCAATCACCACCTAGAGGTCACCAGCTCTACTGGCAACTGGTGGGAGGGCTGTGGACAGGGATACGGGGAGGCCTGCGATGCTTACTGCGGTGTCACATCACTTTCAGTTAAAAAGGAAGTGACATAGGTAGCTCTAGGAACTGTCAAGAACTCTATGGCTTTATCATAGATTTTCCCATTGATTCCTAGAGCTACCCTATGATTTTTTTTTAAAAAAAGAAGTGACACGATGCTGCAGCCAGCATCGTAGATTGTTTTTATTTTTGTACCACCGCTGCTGAGCACAGTGGCGGGTGATGGGAGCTGGGGGTGCCCCATCCTGTACAGAGGCTTGCAGCTGTGGGAAAGCAGGAAAAAAGCCAGCTTCCCAAGAGCATTGAACTTGGGACCCATAACCTGTGTGGAAATGGCCTGAACCAACATTG